ATGGGTCACGATCCCAGGGGCAGCCTTACCTTGTCTAGGTAGATGATGAGTGTGTTCTTGCTGGCTGTGACCTGGTTCAGCTCATACTTAGAGATGTATCTGTCAACGCCGTTGCTCAGCTGGGGAAAGGCAGTGCTGTGAAAAACTACTCCGGGGCCCCCTTTCCTCCCTCTAGTTGTTTCCAAACCCCAAGATCAGTCCCACCAATTTCAGCCCCTAAAGCCAAGACCTTCCTACCAATTCCAGGTCAGCAATGTCAGGAGAGAAACCGGTCATCATGGACACATCCAGGATGGACATAGTGGCGTCCTGTTTGCCCAGGTACCTGGTGGCATGAGAAAGGAGGTGCACGTTATGGTGAGGTGGGCCTTGGGGGGCTGGTGGGGGCTGAGGCTTCTGGTGTCCACACAGCAGCATTTAGGGATGCCAGATTTTAGGAAACAGTCCCCTAAGGGGGGATAAAGGTAATAGTCAAGGGAATGAATAGCCCGGGCCCTGGGTTACATTTCAGCTCTGTGTGACATCGGATGAGCACTTAACCTCTTTGTGCCTCTGTTCTTCTCGAAGATGAAGAGAAGACTTCCTCTGCATGATTCTGTGACCTGGTCTCCTTCAGTGGAACTTTATTTTTTAAAGATTTATGCATACAGAACTGGGGCACAAGCCAGAGGTGCAGGGGGGTGAGAGGATTCACCAGAGACAAAGTAGGGAGCAAAACAGATAGACTGACCAAAATATACTGCTGAGGGGAGCACTGGGAGGGTCAGAGAGGTCTGTTGCGCCATGTGGGTCACCACCCTGGCTGGGGATTGAACTCGTGCTGCAGTGGCTGCGATCACTTCATAGTGCTGCGCTTTAACCCACTGCACCACCAGGGAGGGCCTCAGTGCAACTTTCAAAGAAAAAGCAGGCCATGGAAATGTTGGCTCTGCTGATCTGGCAGACTTTCGGAGGCAAGTTGATTGACACACGTGAGAAAAAGGGTTGTGACAGAAAGATGACGATATCTCAGTGGATGTGACACTGGCAAAAAACTTCACAGGTGAGAAATTCTGTCTTATGACATTGACAGAATTCAATGCTGCGTGTGGACCCAAGCTTAGGTGTGGCAAGCCACTGTGTCATGGACAAGATGCTTGCTGTAGATTATGAATTATACAGAGGGAAAAGGAGGCATTATCCAAGCGACAGTGCTTCAGCAAAAGTTTTACGAAGGAAAAAAAAATCAACATTAATCTCAATGTTCTAATGTTTTAAATTACAGCGCAGTAAACTACTGTACTCCTCATCTCTCTGTACCTTTGTAACTTTGATAATATGTGAGTTTTTGATGTGCTACAAAAAATTTAAAGGCCAGGGCACAACTTTCTTGAAGAAGTTTGCTAGAGCCAGAGAAATGACCAAATGAACCCAAGGGGCCCATCTCTTACCTGGCACAGATTTCAAGGAACATGGTGCCCTTGGCTTCCTGAGGCGCCTTGACTAGAAACACAGAAGACAGCGATGAAGAGGAGGCATGGGACCCCAGTCAGGAGGCAGGCAGCTAACAGAATGGGGGAGACTTGGCGGGGTCATCATTCCTTTTACCTGTGTCAGAAGCTGGTCGTATGTTGACCCTGAGGTCAAAATTCTTGCAGATGGCTTTGTCCTTTTTGATCTTGGCATGGTACGTTGTCACCACCTGGCGAGGGGAGGGGAGGAGGCATCAGGAAGTCAGCTCGCTAGACTTGGGAACAGGAGAATCCCGGGGGGCAGAAGAGCCCAGAGGACGCAGCAGGCCAGGCTGCTGTTTCTCACCGACAAGGTGCCTTGTCCTTTCCCTGTAGCTATTAGTGTGAAGTTCTCATTTTCCTTGGTCTAGAGGGAAGGAGGAAGAAAAGACAGGGAGCTGTGAACCACCTGGCTGCCATGGTTACCTGCCCTCCCTCGCGCCTCCCGACAAGCCCTGGCTGTAGGGAGGGGACAGGGAGGCGGGTCTGGCTGGACAGCTGCACCTCCTCTGATCGCAGGAGGCTGGCGGATTCCCAGAGGAGGCGGTGCTGGACTGCGCTGCTGCGGCTGGGCAGGTGGATGGACACGTCCATGTTCAGGTCCTCATGGTTAGGAACATCCTTCTGGTATTGGGCCAAGGCTTGGAAAACCATGAAGGTGGCCTAGAACCCACAAGAGAGGGTGAGCTGGAGACCGAGCAAATGGTTAGAACCCATCGGGACACTGATACTCTGGCCTAGAACCACCCGAGAGGGAGGATAAGACTGAGGGCTGTAGATACCGAGGTCGTGTTGTAGAGTTGTCTGAGCGAGAGAGACTCAAACCAGGGCTCGGTGACCAAGAACCCACTGGAGAGCAGAAGGGTAAAACTGGCAGTCTAACAACCTAGACATGCAGGGCATGTTTTGGAATTCTCCTAGGAACAAAGGTTCAGACCAGAACTTGGAGACATTATGAGCATGTCTAGAATCTACCAAAAGGGCAGGCACAGAACTGAAGGTCTAGTAATCCTGAGTATGGTCCAGACCCATCCAGAGAAGAAAATCTTAGGACAAGGCTTGGAGCACTGAGAATGTGTTTAGAAACCCATGTATGAAAAAAGAATAGAGTTGGATCCTGAGAACACTTAGCATACAATCTAGAACCCAAAAGTGGTACCAAGGATGTGACTGAGAACACTCCAGAAAGGGGGGGGGAACTGTAGCCTATGATCTCTGGAGCTTGAAGTTACTGAAAACTATGGTCTACATCCCACCAAGGGGAGAGAAGAGTTTGGAGCATGCTCTGGAATAACTGAGAATCTGGTCTGGAACTCACAGGTGGAACAGGATAGCACGGGGAGCCTGGTGGAATGAGAACATGAACCCATGAGGGGGAAAGAGACTCACACCTGAACTTGGACCGTGAGAATATGGTCTAGAGGCCATGAGGGAAGAGAAGCCTCAGAACACAGGTTGGGGCTTCCAGAATGTCGTCTAGAATCCGTCAGTGGGTTTGTAGCAACAATAAAAAAAACCTTATTTTTCAACTCCATTTCAATCACTCTGGCTCATGGGAAGAACTGCCTCTCTTGGGCTCAGCGTCTTCTCTGGGGGTCGCTGGGAGGTCAGAGGAGGTAGGATGCAGGAGCTTGGGGGGCGGGGGCCACTTGCCTGCGTGGAGCCATAGCCACCTCCGTAGTATCTCTGCTCATTGAGCCAGCGCACGACGGGAGGCACGTAGTCGAAGTCTCTGAGCTGCAGCAAGGCCAAGAGCGCATATGACGTAGCTTCCACACTGTAGAGCTTCTGGCCGGGTTCCTCCCAGTGGTTCTTGTCTGAAGAGAGAAACCCCCACCCATGGTGCTCACGGCTCCGTCCAGCTTGAAGACTCCAGAGAAAACTCAGATAAGGACTCATGCTAGACTTCTCAGGGCTGGTGTGTCTTGGTACCCAACCCCCTCAGTCTGCTGGCTCCCGCCTCACTCTCTTCCCCCGTCAGCCTTCACTCCATCTGAATTCTGAACACAGACTCACTGACCAATGGGAGATTCCCTGTCCTTTTTCACTTGTCCTTACTGCTGAGCCTTTGTATATTCTGTTCCCTTTATTTGGAACATCCTTTCTCCACCTACTCTGATTCACTCTTAGCAAACCCCACCATGCAGCTTCAATGACACCCTAAGACTGAGTGAGGTCCCCCTTTACCTCTCAGAGCGTCCTGTGCCTGTCTTGCCCTATCATTATGATGCACTGCAACAATCTATTAACTCGGTTCTTTTTTCCTTATAGTGTGACACTATAGGGGCAGGGGCTGTATTCACTGTGATAATCCAAGCGCCTAAGAAAGCATTTATGGAAGAGACTCTCGCCAAGAACCATAAGAACCATCCCCTTCTTTTCCTGGACACACACATGGACCATAGCTCCAGCTGCCCTTGCAGGTATGGATGACCAATGGAATGTGCATGTTAATGAGGGGAGCCTTCCATGCCTGGCACACCTCCCTTGCACAATCTTTCTGTTTTCCTCTCTACTCAATGGGGTGAATTCTGAAGCCCCAGGGGGGCAGAGCAACAGAAAGATGGAGGCTTAGAGTCCTGCATCACTGTGTGGAGGAGAGCTGTCCACTGCTACCAAACTTCTGCTGTGTTAAACCACTTGGTATATGTTACAGCTATTCCTTGAGATATGTTCAACAGCAAACACAAACAGTATCCACTGTAATTACGAGAACCGATCACTAAGTACTCACTACATGCTAGATTCCCTATGGCATCATCTTATCTAATCCTAATTACCATTGAGATAATATTATTGACAGAAAATGCTTCTGGCAATAATCACATCAGTGTGAGAACTCTGTTCCAGATGCTCTTCCACCTGCATCGCTCATGTCATCTCCACATCCACTCTATGACATAGGTATCATTTTAAGGTGAGGAAAATAAGGTCCAGAGAGATAAAGTGATTTGTACAAGGCCACACAGTGAGACTGTGGCAGAGTGGGCTTTAGCTTAGGTCTGGGGATGCCAGAGTCCATTTCCCTCAACTGCTGTGTCACAGTGAGTGCTCCACACACACTTGGTGAATGAATCGGGCAGTGGACTTTCTTGTGTGACTTCCAGTGAGGACTTTTCACACTTTAGGGCCATCCAGCCCAGCTTGGAGCTGTCTATCCCAGAGCAGCTTAGAACCAGGCATCCCAGCTCAGGATGTCCACCCTCAACCCCCAGTCATGCATCCCCTTCACCCCACCTGCGGCCCCTCACCTGTAGCAGTGTCCAGAAATTTTCTGAGGAAGGGGTCCTCCAGTTTGCCCAGTTGGGCCAGGGCATAGCCAGCAATGGCCACAGTATATGGTCTCTGCAGGTTCATGTAGTTGTCTACAAGGAATTCTCCTGCTTTGTCAATGCTGTCTGGTAGGCTCTATGAGAAAGGGATGAAGCAGTCCTGTCAGGTGGGCATTACTGGCATGGACAAGTGGTAAGGCTCACATATACGCCACTCCCGGGCAGTCGGGCTGTTCTGTGCCTGGGATCTGTCTATCTTGAATCTATTTGTGAGGGCTTCCCAGACATTTCACCTACTGTGAGCTGCTTTGCTGCTTTGCACGGGGTAGTCTAAGTACCCAGGGGTGTGCTGATAAATGTCTAACAACCAGCTCTTCTGTGGGCTGGTGGTGACTTACAGGAGTCAACACGCCCTTCGTGGCCAATTTAAAGCTATCAGTGTGACTTCTCTGAACGTGGGGTGGGGAAGAGAGACCCCAATCATGACCTGGTATCCTCCAAGTTCAGAACATCTGTGGCAACACCCCTTATTCACACATCATCACCATAGCCTACACTTACAATGTACATCATATACGAACTCATTTAATGTCATAAAATCCTGTATGATTTTCTATTATCATTCTTAATGCATGCATGTGATGAGGGGCAGAGGAAGGCATGATTTTAGTGTCTGCTGATTCCCATGGTGTAAATACGCTCATGCTGACTTCAACCTACCAATGTGGCATCGGTGAATGTACAGGTGGGAAAAGATGGGCGGCAATACAGCATTATCCAGCATTTCCACACACACACAACACATAAATCAACTCAAGAGCATAAGCGATAATATTAGACAATGCTTATGAAGAGATGAGTTTTAAATATTTACTCCTTTTGCCCTTAATGCTTAACACTTAGAGTTTAATCTCTTTAACTCTATGTTTATAGACTTTAATTTTTAATGATGTGTTTAACAATCCACTTGCAAAATTCCTGGAAATTTAACAACTGTTTTTCACAAGCTGGTTCCAACCCACTCCTGATCTGAACTCCAGCAGTCTGGTCCACAGCTTCTGTTACATAGTTATAAGGTTGCTGTAACAGCAGCAAATCCTTTACACTGCCCAGCTTTCTCCATCTGCCCTTGACTTTTTTTTTTTTTTAAAGATTTTATTTATTTGTGCATACAGAACTGGGGTACAGGCCAGAGGCTCAGGGGCGGTCAGAGGCTTCACCAGAGACAGAGTGGGCAACAGAACAGGCAGATGGTCAAAGTACACTGCTGAGGGGAGCAGCGGGCGGGTCAGGAGAGGTCTGCCACACCATGTGGTCACCTCCGGGGCTGGCGGGAATTGAACTCATGCGGAAGCAGCTTTAGATTCTCAGTGCTGTGCTTTAACCCGCTGAGCCACCAGGGAGGGCCTGCCCTTGACTTTTGTAGACACTTTCTCCTTCCTATTTACACCACCACAGTGGACACAGCTATATTTACTCACTACTTCCCGGCCTCAGCTGATGGGTCCAGGAGGGAATCACTTGACCCAGGCTGAGCTCATCAGAATCCTTCCCTGGAAGGAAGCTTCTCTGGAAGCTCTGGCCTTGGTTTGGCAATTTCCTGAAGGAAGGCAGCCATGTTCTGCCAGGTGAACGGGATGGCAGGGATTTGTTGGGCACGAGAGAAAGGAGACAGGAGAGAGGAACAAAGTCCCGGCAGAGTCCTTGAGACCACTTTTCATCTACGCAATGACAAATTCTCGGATCCTTAAAATAAATCCCGTTTTTGCATGACCTAGGTCACATGTGTGTTACGTCTAGGCCAGTTCAGAGAACCTTTCCCGATACAAAGGGTATTATAGCCGGTTCATAGGCACACACACTGAGGCCCGGGGAGGGCAAGTGTCTGAGAGTCAGGATTTGAAGCCAGACCTGTTTGACCCCGGAGCCCTAACGCTGTCTCTTTTCTACCTTAATTTCTCTCAACTTGGCAAGATTTGGACCAGAAAAGCCCTGGGCATGAAAACAAAGAGCCTTGCTTGTGTTTTTATATCACTGATTCCCTGTCTACTAGCTAGCTCAGGTGGGACCTGGGGTTTCCCTCTGGAGCACTCAAGGTCAACAACCCATTATCAAAACTCCAGAGATGCTGGAGTGATCACAGACTCTCAGACCCGTTTTCCTAAGCTTCTCTGCTGCAAAACCAAAACCAGAGGAAAAGGGGATAATGATGAGTGAATATTTTTAATCATTTTCTTCCTGTGATCATGAACCCCTTTGAAAAGCTCCTGAAATATCCCCCAAACTAAGTCTAAGTCTAAGCAAACAGTCTTGGCTTTTTAAAAGCTCTGTGCCTGCATTTTCTCTCTTGAAGCATCTGGGATACAAACACACTGATGATGCACGAACAAAATGGAAAGGAGCAGCAGGTGCGAAGGTATGAAACTGGCTAAAACTCTCAAGACGGTAAAGCTGGTGAGAAGACCCAATCGATAATCTCTCTCTGTCTCAGTTTTCTCTTTGAGAATCTGGGTACAAGAGTGAACACCCTCTTGGGCTGTGCAAGGATTATAGGACTTAAGCTTGGAAGCTCTTAGAGGAACGTCTGAGCTAATTACCCAACCAGAGTTATCATGAACCCTGCGGCCACCGCAGCTGGGAAGACTGGAAACTGGGCAGATGCAACACCCACCCTCTGGATGAACGTGTCCTGGAGAGAGGAGGGGGAGAGAGGAGAGGAGACACTCACATTGACCTGTCCCTCGCAAATATCTCTAGCCTCCAGCAGCGCGATGAGCACGAAGGCGGTGAGGGCCGATTCTTTCTCCTTGTCATTCCGGAAGCCACCCTAGGGCGGGGAGCAGGAAGCAAGGCAGGGTCGCCAGTGTGTTCCTACAGCCCACCAAGCCATCTGTGGGTGTGGGCCAGGGCAGGCTGGTCTCTTCCCGGTGCCTCCCTCGGGGGACAAACGCCTCAGCATTCATTCATTTTGCAATGTTGCTGGTGCTGTGGACCTGATAAACGCAAATCCGCCCCCCCCCCTCCCCCCCCCCCCGCCAGCTTGCATGGAGCTTTACACAGCAGGAGAAAGACATGAAGCACCCAGCCCACAGCAGATACACAGTGAGCAACACAAACTGAAGAGAGTTGTGCAAGAGCACACAGCAGTGAGGATGGACAGTGGGCGTGAGCCCTGGCTGGCGAGGGCAGGAGAGAGTGCCCAAGGATGACGGATGCAGTGACTATCGGAGGAGTGCATCAAGGGTTGGCACACCAGGCAGCGGCAACAGGAGATGCAAAGGTCCTTGGTGAAGAGAGCCAGGCTCCTCGCAGCCAGAGGGGAGGTGGAGGCAGGGGAGGCCGTGTGGCCGAAGCCCGAGAGGCCAGCCTACAACCGCGATTCCCAGAATGAGCACACATGGACCCCTCTCTCCCAGCCCGGCCTCTTACAATCATTTCTTGATGTATCACAGGTGCGTCCTCCTGGAAGATTCCATCTGGCTTCTGCTTCTCGAGGATCAGCCATTTGACAGCCTCACAGAGGACCTGGGAGTCGATGGCGATGAGGTTGGTGGCCAGAGAGAAGACCTTGACTACGTAGGCTGTCAGCCTGGTGGGGGGGGGGTGCGGGGTGTCAGGCAGCTGGCCCTGGGACCCAGGAAACCAGAGGAAAGGGGCAGGCAGGTTTCCCCTCCTAGGGCCAGGGTGCCCTCGGGCTCTGGGCCCAGGGCTCCAGTCACACAGGATGAGTGAGGCCCTCTCAGGCCACCCCAGATTATCATGTGGGCCCTGCTCACTTTGAGGCCAAGGTGAGGAAGCTGACTGTGGCGACTCACCAGGTGCTGGACGGTCGGCCCAGGAAGGCCGCATAGGCCCAGTTAGGTTGCTTGAAGGCCAGCTGCTGTGTGTACCCTGTGTAGAAGCTGAAGTCACTATGAGGGGGCAGGGGTGGCGGGGTGTGCTGAGTGCAGGGTCAGGGTGCACAGGAAGGAGGGGTTCAGGGAGGGGATGTGGAGTCTGCAAGGGTGGGTTCAGAGAGGAAAGGGGGCCCGAGGCAGGGTGGGGAGGGGTCTGCCTCAAGGAAGGAGAGACTGGGGGCTCCCAGCCATTCTGGTCTCAGAGGAGGGGCAGGACCTGGAGAGGGGGAGGGGACCCAGGGTGGACAGAGCTCTGAGAGGGGCCACAGAGGGGCAGGTAGAGGGGGTGCCTGGGGGTGCCTGGGGCGCACCCTTCCTGATGAGATCCAGGCTCTCCTGCCGCTTCTGCAGGCCGAACTTATCCCACTGGTCCGTGCTGTCCAGGTAGTGAACGGCGATGACCGTGGGCGTCATGCCGATCATGTTCTGCTCCCCACAGCCAGAGGGGGTCACGATGAGGTGCTTCAGCCGTTCGCCATCTATGGCTTCCTCTGCCATCAGGGCAACTGGGGTCCCTGCAGCCCAGCAGGAAGACAGCTCAACAAGGGACCATCACCCGTGGTGCGTGGGGCCAGGAGCTCGGCCCCCCGCCCCACCCCCCCAGCTCCAACCGGCCAGAGAAGGTGTCAAGCACAGCTGGGACTGGGTGTGACAGAATGCAGGGGTGCCTTGGGGAGGATGGTGGGAGGGGGTGTGATTCAACTGCCACCACAGGGTGGTCTTCTTACACCAGTGGCAAAAACAATCCCAGCGGCAAGGCTCACGTCCCGCGAACGCCATTTGCCAGGGTCTGTCCTAAGTAATGCATCCCAGCAGCTCGGGGGACCCTCCCAACACCCCCTCACAGAGACATTATTACTCACTCCCTCCTCAGAGGCAGAGGCCAAGCTCTCTCCCCCAAGCTGCAGAAGTCACAGGTTGCCAGGGGGCTTTCCCCTTCTTGTCCCTTCCCGCCATCCCAGGCAGTTCCAGAATTTCTGCTTCTGACTGAACCGCCTTTATCAGTAAAAGCTATTTGCCAAACTAAACGCAGCAGTTTCTCTTTAGCTACTGCGGATGCGCCTTAACCCGCAGAGGGTGCCTGGAAATGCAGGTAACATGGTCGTTGCTGTTTCCCCCTGCACATTCATGCCTTGGCTGAAATTAAATTTCTAAAGTTAGGAGCAAGAATGAATAACGATAAGGCAGTTATCACAATATAGAATCTAACAAAAGTTGAGTGGAAGTGGTCTTTTTCTGCCTCTAACACCTCTAACTGTACTTTTCCAGTGCAGTTGACCACGAGTAACTGAGACCGTGGAAGAGGGGGGATGATGACTGCACTGACTGGAACCTTCTATGAAGCAGACCAGGGAGGGACTCTTCTAGCTGAAGTGGAGGAGAGAGGCACAGTGATGAGACACTTTGGGAATCAGATGGAACTGGGTTCCCTTCTCTGGGTTGGGACTCCAGACTCCTGGCCCCGTGGAGGTCAAGGTCAAGTTCAGCTCACCTTGCAGCAGGATCCTGGTCTCCAGCTCTGTGTCCGGCACCTGGTCGCTGATGTCTGCAGCAGGGACCTCTATTCGCTGCACGCCGTCTGCGCACCAATGGGAGACACCCATGGCGCCAGCTGCCCCCACCCACATCACCACCCAGGCCCCATCCCCCTCCTGTGCAAACTCACTCTGGCCCTCCACTTCAGGATTCAGTGTGCGGACGATCACGGTTTTGTTGACTCTGATTCCTTCCGGCTGGGCAGCGCAGGGTGTGGGCAGGGCAGCGAGTAAAAGGACAGACAGACACAGAGGCACTGGTCAGGGGCACTTTTGTTTGGGGGTTTTTGTGAGACAGGCATGCTGGCATCCGCCTGTCCCAGCCGTGTGATGGGGCCAGGTGCTTGGCCTCCCAGGGCCTCAGCTTCCTCCTTGCAGGTAGTGACAAGATTATAACTTGGCAAAATTAAACTTTGCAAAATGCTTAGAAGCATTCTTTACTTGGGTGACTCTTGGAACATAACACTCAGTGGGGTGCGCATTGCCATTATCAACCCATATTAAAGATGGGGAAACTGGGGTACAGGTTGCTGAAGTAAGTTGCTCAAGGTCACACAGCTGGGAAATCAGTACTGGAGTTTAAGCCTGGCAGTCGCTGGGTCCAAACCAAAAGCAAAAATGCGTGCCCCTTAATATATTAATGGGAAATTTTATTCTATAGCATTAGATTACTTGAAAAAATATGAATTTGAATTTGTTAAAGCTAGGAAAGAAAAGGTGCAATAAATTCTGGTTTGGATAGAAACAGAACATTTCAAAAAATAATGCTGTTAGTTTTTATACCTTTGTTGTTCAGGGTTTCAATATTTTTTTTCAACTACTTTGACATTTTGGGAGAAATTAACCATAAAACCATTTCAACCATCAACAAAATACATACAGATGAGTATATGGGGGCACTCAGTCCTCCTTTTGCTTCAAGCTCTTTGAAAGTAATTTAGTCAAGATCATTGGGAGGGAAAATGATCCCTGGTGGCACCAGGGGTTCAGTCTCAGCACTATGAAGCGGTCACCAGCCACTGCAGCACGAGTTTGATCCCCGGCCAGGGAGAGACCCACAGGGCGCAGCAGACCTCTCCTGGCTCCCCACGACTCCCTTCAACATAGCACCTGTTCTGCTCCCCACTCTGGTGAATCCTCTCACCCCATGTACCTCTGGCCCACACCCCAGCTCTTATATGCATACATAAATAAAATAAATCTTTAAAGAAAAGCCAATACAGTGAAAGTCAGGAACAGACAGAAGACACATCCCTACCACCAAATGGCAAAGCATATCCCAAAGGGGTACAGGCTAACAGTGTGTGTTTTTCCAAGATCTTTAATGCCAGAAAACCCTCCTATACTGAAATGCATTACAAAGAATGTTTGATATTAAAATATGTTTTAATGGAGAAATATATCAGGGACCTTTATTGCTGACCTTCTGCTGCCCTGTAAGATCCCGTGCCTGAGGACAGAGCCTCACGTGCCTCCCCCTAATCCCAGCCCTGCTTCTGAATGTCTAGGACCCCTACATTTCCTAAGATGGACACTATGCTTGGTGCCCCAGAGCCTGGGACCCTGACTGGCTTGACCTCACGGGAGGAGTCCCCAGACACTCACCACGACCTTCAGGGTCTTCTTGATACCGTCGCTGATGAATCGGCCGTAGACGGCGGCCTTGACCTCCACCTCCTGGTGCCCGATCACCAGGGGCACGATGACGTAAGGCACAGGCCTCGAGGACTTGGGTGGGATTTCTATGGTCTGCTGGTGGCGCTTCTTGGCAGTGGCCAGGCTGCAGAAGGCTGGGTTGTAGAGCAGCTCCACTCTCACCTGCCAGGGAGAGAGAATCAAGTCAGAGGTGTGTGCCACAGACCCCCGTTTCCCTCCTAAGCCCCCACGGCTGCCCCAGAGACCCACCTTGAGGGTATCCAGCTCTCGGTAGTTGTAAAGGATGGCTCGGATTTCCACCTGCTCGTTGCGTACCACGGAGTAGGGCAGACGAAGATCAATGAAGAAATCTTGCATCACCTTGACCTCATAGGGATCAGCCACACAAATCCCTGCCCGGTGGAAACAGTACAGAGGTCAGCGAGAGGGGGTGGGCAAGGGAGTCAGATTCCGGGTTTAGGTTCAAGTTCTGGCCCTTCCCAGCATCTCGGTGCTTACTCAATCATAGCACGCGGCCGCTTTACAGAAGCGCACAGATGAAACACCATGAGTGATGACCACACACAGACGCGGGTGGCAGCTCGCCATGACTGAGTGCTTCTGGTTTCTTTATAACTTTACTTGTCAACACGTGCAGAAGGGAAGAAGGCGAGCCCAGCTCAAGGGGCCCTCTCTGAGGGGTAGCCCAAACCCCACACGCCCCCTGGACATTTGAAATGTGGCTAGCTCAAGTGATAACTGAATTTCTACTTTAATTTCACTTTGATTTAGATGAAAAAACTGATGACCATTGTGAACACAGCTGGTCCTTGAACAAGGCAGGGCTTAGGGGCACCGAATTCCTTGCATTTGAAAATTTCCATGTAACTTTTAGACTCCCCTAAAATTTTACTACTAATAGCCAGCTGTTGACTGGCAAACTTACCACTAACATAAATAGCCAATTAACATATATTGCATGCTATAGCTTGTCATCTACCTACTTTGCAATGTTTTAGCATTTTTCAACTCCTTTAATGCTCTGGAAAAAGTTGACCTTGAACAGGTACATAAAACACGCATTATGGGGTGGGGGCGTTCCTTTTTCCTCTTGCTTCAGACCCCAACAAGGTTCCAAATGGCCTTAGTCTCCATTTGCAGTTTAGATATTTTGTTCACTATGGACTTGTTTTGCATTTACTTTGATTTTTAAAATGCTGAGACGGAAAAAGGCACAAAATGATGTAAAAATAATCTATTATAATATTTTAAGAAATGCTGAATGGAAAAGTCAGAATTTTTGGCACCTGTTTCTCCCTTGCATCAAAGTCGGGGCTGCAGCTCCTGGCTGCTCGGGGCCCCACCAGCCAGGCCAGGGCCTTTCTCCCTCCCAGCTGTTAGCAGCAGGTGTGTGTGGGGGAACACGTGCACTTTTTGGGTGATGTTGCACAACCTGACAATCGATGTTTCAGCCATGCATTTCATCTGGCTTCCTCTTTTATCTTTTCTTAGTGGTTTTACTCTCTGTCAGGTTGACATCATTCCTTAAACGTTCTTGTTGCAAATTATGGTGTGATACTACAATGTCACAATGTCATTATACATTTGTGCAAACACCTAGAATACAGGTGTGACATTGGGGAGTGAACCCTAATGTCAACTGTGAACTTGCAGTGAGCATGACATGTCCATGACCTTGATTTAATGAACGTTCCTCTGGTTCAGGATGTTGATAGTGGGTGAGCCAGTGTGGGGGCGGATATAGGGTTTAGGAAGTCTCGGTACATTCCACTCAATATTGCTGAGTTGTACTAAAGCTGCTCTAAAAAACCTATTCTACAAAAAGTACCGCGCCACCCACAGCCTTGACTCTGATGACCCCAGAAACCAGGAGGCAAGGAATAAGCCAGCATTAGACACAAGATCTGTCTGTTCTGATGGGATGAGAAAATGCTGGGGGGGGTCCCCACCTCCTCCTCTCACCTTTCTTGTCGGACAGACTCACAGCTAGAATCTCCCAGGTGGTGATGGAGTCTTTCAAGAACACATTCATGGTCTTTGTGGAGATTCTGGATAGGGGGAGGGGGCTGTTAGGAGTAGCCACCTAATAGGGCAGAGGGGGAGAGCTTGCAGGAGGAGCCCTGGGGAGGGCTAGAGTGGGCACAGGTAAGTAGCCCCAATCTTGATTTTTCTAGGTTGGGTTGTGATTCCAGAAGAGGGGATATTGGAGGTACATGCAAATGGTTCAGAGCTGGTCTGGGGGTGGGTTGAAGTAGGGGAGGGTCTCCAGCCTTACCCATTTTTCGCTGGTTCTTTGAATTCTTCTATGGTCCACAGCCAGCTCTCGGGGAACTGACTCCGGGTAACGATGTCTTCTTCCGGCATAATATCCTCATCCGTGTTGCCTGGGAAAGAGGAAAGCAGTCTGGGTTTAGACAGAGCTGTTCCCCACTACAATCTCGGGGATTCGCAGCAGTGAACACACAGGGCTGGGTGATGACTTCCAGGGCCCAGGCATGTTTGCTGTGGAGGGTTTTCTCCTTCGTAAAAATACATTAAAATCCTCTCTGACAACTGTGTTGGTTAGAAGTGAACATCATCCAGGTTGGGTAATACTTACCCCCACCCCTTTTTTCAGAGAAATGAAAGCATCTAAAAGCATCAAGACCCACAGACACCACACCTGTAGCACCTGCTGGCCGTGTAAAGGTAAAAGCAATCAGGCGAGTGGGGAGATTTCCCTGGCCAGAGGGAGCCTGCTGACACCCTCACTACACAAACGTGGTTTATTTCTAAACCCACGCATGGCCATAGGAGTCCACACTTGTTTTAGAGGCATAGTGAACTTTGGTTTTGGGGAGCATTTCCCTTGACTTAAATTTTGTCTGATCCAAGAGATAAGAGAAGTTAAAAAGTAACTCCAAAGGAATGAAGAGACACTTCACATTGGGGACTTCCGGTCATCGCACCCTTCATCAAGTGATCAAGGTTCAGCCACCCATAACGGGACAGATCAGTGCCAGATGGCTCCTGCAATGAGGCACCGAGGACACAGCCTCTCTCTGACGGTTCTGTCAAGAAGGCAGGGCCCGGGGTTGCTTGTGGAGAAACAGCTGACTCCCTACATGAGGACAGACCCACATGGTATCTGACCTGAACCCTTCACACACAGCACGGGCATGAAAGCCTGGACAGACAGGAGAGCGAAGAGGCTGGGTTGAAAGAGAATAAATGCAGCGGCGGGGGGTTCTGAACTGTCCTATAAAGGACAAACAAAGCAAAACAAGCAAAAACAGCCCTGCAAAACTTGGAGGGGGTCGGGGAGCCTGAGCATCTGATGACAGCAGAGTCCACGGATGTCTCAGTCTGATGGTCCTGCCGTGGTTCTGTAGCAGAGTATCGTTGCTTCTAGAAAGTGAGCACTTAGCCGAGCACGGGGCACACTGGGACATCAAACAGTTCTGGAGCAAAAGGCCCTTCTATTTGTATTTCTACTTTCCTCTAAGTTCGAGACTGCTTCCAGGAAAATCCAAGATGGGTGTTCGCTTTGCCTGGCGCGTGCCGCTGCGCACTTCCCAGCGGCTTAGTTTCTCGGCAAAGGGCTTCTCTTTCAGGACATTTCACTGCGTGGTGGGTGGGACAAGTAGTCCCATGGCTACTAACTAGTGTGCCCAGTGTCATCCTCCAGAACGTTCCATCAGGCTAGGGATGTCCTGGCCCTGGCAAGCACACTCTTGGGATGGGAGTGGGCTGGGCTGGGACCCAGACTGGACACGGCTTTGCCCTCGGGCGAGGGCCCGGCTCCCCGCCGCCCGCCAAGCCCGGGCCCT